AAAAGGAAAGAATAAAAGTTAGAAAACTTTTAGCATAAGAAAAAAATAAAATGAAAAAAATTAATTAACTTTGCAAGACTAAAGAATCATGGGGAGAAAGCCATGAATTCCATGCTTTGCCTTCTCTTCTCAGATTCTGCTGTTCACCTTCGTAAGTGAACTTGGTCTTGGCTGGATTTCTTGCTGATCTTCTGGGGTAGGGGCCTGTTGTAGTGATTCTCAAGTGTCTTTGTCTGAGTCTGAATTGCACCGCCCTTTACCAGGGGCCAGGCTAAGTAATCTGCTGGGGTTCACTTTTGGGAGTTTTTGTTCCATGAACAGTTTCTGTAGTGTTCTGGAAGACGGGAATGAAAATGGTGGCCTCCCAATCTCTGGCCTGAAGGAGCTGAGAGCTCAGGGCCCCACTCCTCAGTGCGCCCTCCAAGAAAAGCACTTAATCACTCCCATCTCCCTGGCCACCGGCCAGGCTCCGAGCTCACCTGGCCTGTGACCAAGCGTTTCTGTCTCTGGCACACAGCCCTGTCTGGTGTCTCCAAACCCAGCAGATCCCTGCACTCGTCCAGGGGGGGTCTCCCCGGATCTTGTGGGATCCCTGCTCAAAGAGCAGTGGTCTGACTGTGCGATGGATCACAGTTTAAGGTAACCCCCCAGTTGAGAGCTCGCTCCTTGGCTCTGTCTCTGTAGCCGGCTTCCCCCCTCTAATACCTGCGAGCTCTGTGACACTCAGACTCTGCCGATCTTCTGTGAACCCATGGGACCTGAAACCATGCTGTTCCTGTGTGGGTTTCACCCCGGCTTAGCCTCTGGAGCGATGTCCCTCAGTGGAGCAGACTTTTAAAAAGTTCTGATTTTGTGCTCCATTGCTCCACCACTTGCCGGGAGCCGACCCCTCCCCCTGTGGTCTATCTTCTCATCGCTTTGGATTCACTTCTCCAGAGGTCCTACCTTTGAGAAAGTGGTTGATTTTCTGTTTCTAGAATTGCTGCTCTTCTTCTCTTTGCTCTCCTGTTGGATTTGTAGGTGTTCGGAATCGTTTGATAAAATATCTAGCTGATCTCCTGCTACCTGATGTCACCTCAGCCTGCTACTCCTCTGCCATCTTCCAATTATCCCAATTAGGTGATTTTGAGGCTCTGATCACATTTTTTAGTATTTTAAATTAAATTAAAATTTTTTATTTTATATTTTTATATTTTTAAAAAAAATTTATTTTTTTAAAATATTTTTACATTTTTATTTTATTTTTTGTGTTCCAAGATTCTGTTTATGCACCACAGCCAGTGCTCCATGCAATTCATGCCCTCCTTAATACTCACTGCCAGGCTCACCCATCCCCCCACCCCTTGCCCTCTAAAATCCCGTTTGTTTCTCGGAGTCCACAGTCTCTTATGGTTGGTCTCCCCCTCCAATTTCCCCCACTTCACTTTTCCTTCTCCTAATGCCCTCTGTGTTATTCCTTATGTTTCACAAGTAAGTGAAACCGTATGATAATTGACTTTCTCTGCTTGACTTACTTCACTCAGCATAATCTTGGGTGAACCATGATCTTTCACTCCTCCAAAGTCTGAAATTCACTTTGCTACTTTTCTACCTATTGCATTACTTCAAGGCCCAGCTCAAATGTTACCTCTTTTACAAGATCCTCTTCAGCCCCTCCAGACAGAATTAGCAGGTCCTCCTCATAGCACTTACTTGCATAATTCTACTTGTATTATAGTAACTGTTATTTTTCTCCTGCTGCACTAGTATGTTACATCTCGAAGATTCTTCCTACCACTTACCCACACATAGAAGAGAGGCCCCGCATTGGCTACTTGCCTATTTGCGAGGCCTCCCTGTCAGTCCTGATCCATTCCCAGTTTTCTGCAGTTTCTGAAGCTGTTCTATGTGTTTTCCTGTGGAAATTGATGGCTGGTTAAAGAAAGAGAATGATGCTAAATTCTTGTTATCTATAGTGGAATAAACTCTCTCTTCAAGAAGAGTGGACTCTGGAAACAGACTTCAGACTTTGAAACCTGGCTGTGCCGCATTAGTTTTGTGACATTGAGCTTGTCTCAGTCTTAGATTCCTTATCTATAAAATGAGACTAATAAGAGTTCACTACTTTATAGAGCAGTTTTGAAGATAATGGTGAGATAATCTTTGTGAAGCACTTAGAACAGGGCCTGGCACAGATAAAGTGCTCAAATAATGGTATCTGTTACCACCACCATCACTGTTATTATTATCTTCACCATTTTATCATTTTGTCAATAATAATTCAGCATATTCCAGAACGTAGAATTAGTTTCCCTTGGCAGAAGGTCTTGTTCAGAGTTCCCATTGCTGCTATCATTCCATTCCCTATTTCCTTGAGTCAGGAAATGATCCTTTCTCATGTGGAAAGTAGTGACCTCTCTGAGACTGTATATGTGGATCATCTTTATGAGATTTGACTTCCCTAAATGTATTGAGATGGTAACAATGCTGTTATGGCCTGTAGGGAACGGCCAACCCCTGTGGTGTCTTCTAAAGTAGAGCAGGGATAAAATTTCCTAGGGCCTTTCTACTAGAGGAAAGTATTCGAATAGAGACATGTAACTGAAGTTTTGGGCCTAAAAATATTTAGGCACATGAGAGAAGAAATTCATGTCACTGTTCACTTCATTGTTCTGAGAGGGTAAATGTGGTTAAGGTTACTCCTAAATGCTAGAGCTTTGCAGGTTACCTCAGGCTTAAGGCATGTCTAGTTGCACATGATCTAGTTAACATGGCTCCTTTGTGCTTATGCCCCTACTATTATTTGTGATCCTTTAGTAAATTTTTGCTTGAATGTTCTATTCTTACGGCAATTGTGCTAGAATTAATAAAAGCAGGACTATATACCTACTTTGGTACAGAGTAGGGAAACTATAGAGGGAATCCTTTTGGCCCTGATCCCTATAACGGTGGCAGCACTGATTGGTGACCGGTTCTCAAGGAGAAGAAAGTTCTCTGGGGGAGAAAGTCTTTGCAGCAAATCTTAGCCCTTCCTTCCCACATAAAATCTCTTGCTTCACTGCCCTTTTAGAGCATAATAGCATACATAATAACTATTATAGAGTGTTTATTGTGTCCCAGGCACTGAAATAAGTATACCATCTCATGTAACCCTCACTACAACCTCATGAAGTAGTTACTATTATTACTCCCACTTTACTGAGGAGAAAACTTGAGGTATAGAGAGATTATGAATTTGCTTAAGGTCCTACAGTTGATAAAAATCAGAACTGAGATTCAAACCTAGCTATCTGACTCCAAAGCCTGCATTTCTTTTAACATTTTACTATGGAGAGTTTCAAACATAAACCAAAGTTAAAAAAAAAAAAGTATAATGTACTCCCCATGTGCCTACCACCCAGCTTCAACATTTACACCAGTATGCCCATTCTTATTTCATCTGTATTCCTACCCATATCCCCAACCAAGACATCATGTATGTCATTTCATCCATAAATTTTTCAGTATATATCTCTAAAAGGTAAGGACTTTTTGAAACCAAAATTGAAATACCATCATCATACCTGAAAGAAAACAAAACAAAACAAACAGTAATTCCCTAAGAGTGCTATCTAGTCAATGTTCAAATTCTCCATATTTTTTAAAAATCAGGATCCAAAAAGATATATATATTACAACTGCTCAACATGTTTCTCAAGTCTCATTTAGCTAACGAGAACCTCTATTCTTAACTACTGCTCTCTGATCTAGGTTTTCTATTATGAAGAAATGTGACAGTTTCCTTACAGCAGGAGTTCTCAATCAGGGATTAACAGCTTTAAGGGACTCTATGAATCTCTTTAAATTAAAATTAGTTTTTAAAATTTTTCATGTATTTGTGTGTGTTAGTTTGGCTGTTATTAAAGTCTCAAAGCCTTAAGTAAGACTCATAACAATGGTAAAGTAGATACTATTGTCACAGAAAATTGTGGACCACAAAAACTAAGGGAGGAACATAAAGTGGCTAGTTGGAGGTTTCTTTATGAGGATGGAGAATGAAGTTAAATTCTGTTGTTTAATTTTAAATTTGAGAGATTTTAACAAATTACTTTTGAGAGAAATAGAAGTAGTTAAGGATTGACTGATGTCTCCTAAAAAGATCAGGATTATACTTGGGGACTCTTAAGACCCATCCATCCATCCATCTATCTATCTAGCTGTCTATCATCTATCTATTTATTTATAAATAATCTTATTTTATTTTTTCATTGTTCCAAGATTCATTGTTTATGTACCACACCCGGTACTCCATGCAATACGTGTTCTCCTTAATACCCACCACCTGGCTCCCCATCCCCTCATCCTTCTCTCCTTTAAAACCCTCAATTTGTTTATCAGAGTCCACAGTCTCTCATGGTTCATCTACCCCTCCTATTTCCCCCTTCGTTTTTCCCTTCCTTCTCCTAATGTCCTCCATGTTATTCTTTATGCTCCACAAGTAAGTGAAACCCTATGATAATTGACTTTCTCTGCTTGACTTATTTTACTCGGTATAATCTCCTCCAGTCCCATCCATGTTGATACAAAAGTTGGGTATTCATCCTTTCTGATGGCTGAGTCATATTCCATTGTATATATGGACCACATCTTCTTTATCCATTCATCTGTTGAAGGACATCTTGGCTCTTTCCACAGTTTAGCAATTGTGGCCATTGTTGCTATGAACATTGGGTACATATGGCCCTTCTTCTCACTAAATTACATATCCCTTTGAATAAAGCATCTTGGTATATTATGGTTTTACTAAGTTGTGGTGAAAATCAAACTCTCATCTTGTACTGAATTCCCTATTTGATGGGATCTGTGACTCCACATGGGTTGGGGTAGGTAGAAACTGATTTTGCAAGTTATCAGTGATTTGTTCCACAATAATAGCTCCATTGAGTATGTGTAAAATTTTTCAATATTATATGTGCATTTATAAAAATGAAATGGTAATAAAGTTAGCATTAATCTTCCCTCTTTGCACCACCTTTTCCTAGATGAAATCCAACATCAAACACCCAATGGTATTATCACCAGCAGTATAGAACCCCCGAGGCTACCACAATACCCCAAATTGCCTATTCAGAGGAGTGGGGAAGCTGACACTGGGAGGAAGTCTCCAAGCAACTGGCCTGTTTCAGATGGCAAGTTGGAGTCCTGTCCTGAAGTGGATGTGGGGAAGCTGGTGTCTAGACTGCAGGATGGTGGGACCAAGGCCATACCAAAGTCCACCAATGGACCTGTGCCAGGCTCTGGGCCCACAAAAGTCCCCTCTTTCCACATAAAGAGACCAGCTCCTCGGCCCCTGGCTCACCACAAGGAGGGTAAGTGCTTGGGAATTCCATTGGAATCAGAATTGAAACCAGCTATTTTGCATCTTAAGATCTTTCTGAGGTTGGAGATAATTAAATAGGAATCTAGTTCCAATTTATTGTCACTAATATTGGAATTGTGGGTAAGAACATAAAAACCATTCACAATAATCACTAGAGTGTAAAGCTAATGAGGGTGGGGATTTGGGACCTGCTTTATTTACCTCTTTATCCCAAGTACTTAGAACAATGTTTGACTGTCACAAGGTAAGCCCTAATTGTTTGTAAAATAAATTGATAATAATATTTTTATCAATGTTATTATTGCTGCTATTGCCATTGAATATCTACTGTGTCCCTGACACTGTACTAGATTTTGACAAATTATTTCTGATCCTCAAAACCTTACTGTGAAGAATACATTACTCTTTTTCTTTCCTACTAGAAAACTGAGGATCCTAGAGCTAACTAAGGTGACTTGCCAAAGGTTCACAGTTACTAACTGGCAGAGCTGGAATCTCAGTCTTACCAAGTGTGGCAGGTACCAAAACCTGTGTTATTTCCAATAATTCAGAACTATCGATTCATATAAGAAGCTTTGAAATTCATGAACTGGTGGTTTCTCATTTTCACTTTTCAGATTAGTCAAAATAGGGACAAACGGGCACAACTTCTGCAAAACTCCTGACTTTCTAAATTACAAATCCAAGATGTGGCTGACTTTGGTAAATTTAATTGAAGACTCATGCTTGGAGGTTGGGACTAATCCAGAGGGTATCTGGAGGGTGGTACATAATTCTATGAAGATAATATGATATAATGGACAGAATATAGACTTTGATATCACAAAAGCTCAGACCCAAATTGTGACTCTTTTACTTTCTAGCTAGATGACCTTCTAAAAATGTGCCTTGATTTTTATCCTATCTTGTTCCAGAAAGGATTTAAGGCTTTCACAATATAGAAAATATAAGAACTTAAAAATAGTAAGAATAATTTATTCAACAAGTGTTGAGTACTTGCTGTTTGTCTAGCCCCATTCTAGGTATTGAGGACATAAGAATGAATAAGACATACAAGGTCCCTATTCTCTTGAGACTTATATCGGGGCTTAGCAAACTATGATCTTAACTGAAAAATATCAAAAGAAAAATAATATATCATGACACATGAAAATTATATGAAATTCAAATTTCTGTGCCCATCAACAGATGCACACCACTTCATTTACATATTGTGTAAAGCTACTTTCACACTATAACAGCAGAATTAAGTAGTAGCAACAGAGATCTTATTGCCTACAAGTCCTAAAATATTAACTATTTGATACTTTACAGAAAATGTTTGCTGACTTCTAGATTCTAGAGAGTGCAGGTGAGAAAAAATGAAGCCAAGAGAAGGGGAAAAAAGGTAGGATAGTAGGGATATGGAAATAATGAAGTTAGTACACAAAATGTTTGCTGTGAAGCCTTACACACTTGCCAGAACAGTGTCACAGATTTGGCTCCAAACTTTCTAGAGAAAATGAAAAGAGAAAGAACTTAATAGTCATATAAATCCATGGTCTTAAGGTAATAATAAGCAAGTTGTTAAAAAAAAAACACAACTCATCCATTTTTGAAGCCAGAGAATACTTCTAAGAAGCATTTTATCTCAAGGTTTGTTGCATATGGGCTGATGACATTGTCTCCGGTCACAATTCAGTAAAATCTATTCTATGGGAGTCTGATAAGATTTCCACTAAGTAACTGACTAGGAATTCTTTGGCTTGACCCAGTGATGCATCTGTCTGTATGATTAAGTTATTTAAGATCTGTGCACCTTGGTTTCTATATCTGTAAATAGGATTAACAGCTCATCCCACAGAACTATTGCTAAGATTGAAAGAAATAACAAAATATCTGCCATATAACCAATATTCAAAATATGTTATTAATTCCCTTTCTCTGCCTTCCTCTTCCTAAGATTTTTCTATTCAGGAAAATAGCCAACTAAAACCAGACTTCTGTGTAGACACAGTTTCAAATTATAGGTCATGTGTTGACCTTCACATCAATTTGTTAGGGAGTTGGGTAACTCAAATTATATTCATCACAGTGAAGTTTGTCTTGCCTGCTGCCAAGCCTTGAGGTCAGCTAGATCCTAGAAGTTTAGCACACACAGTAATTTAGCCCTCTTTCCATCATCTACTGCGAAGTTAAATTCCAGATGCATTCCCCCTTCCCCTTTCTCCACAGTCCTGCTCCAGACTTCTGGCAACAAGTAACAGTTTCACTTAATGTAAGTACTGATCTTACTGTCCAGTACCAACCAGAATATCTAAATTTGGGCCACATCATTGCCTGGTTTTGCTTTCTATCTTAAATAAGTCAGCAACAGTCTAGTGTGATGCAGTTTTTCTCAAGGTGCCATGCCTCCAGCCTTAGCTACAGAAGACAGAACTGAGGTAGTGGTTCTGGCCTTGGTGGAAAATCAGCCAAACTTCTGCCTCCTTTTTTTTCAAGATTTTATTTAAATTCTAGTTAGTTAACATATAGTGTAACATTCATTTTTGGAGTAGCATTTAGTGATTCATCATTCACATATAATACCTAGTGCTCATCACAAGTGCCCTCCATAATATCCATTACCCATTTAGCCCATACCCCCCACACACCTGCCCTGCAGCAACCATAGTTGAGAGTCTCTTTTATGGTTTGCCTCTCTCTTTGTTTCCCCCTATGTTCATCTGCCTTGTTTCTTAAATTCCACATATGACTGAAATCATATGGTACTTGTCTTTCTCTGACTTATTTCACTTAGCCTAATATGCTCTAGATCTACCCACATCATTGAAATGGCAGGGTTTCAGTTTTTTTGATAACTGAGTAATATTCCATTGTATATATATATATACCATGACTTCTTTTTCCATTCATCAGTCAATGGACATTTGGGATCTTTCCATAATTTGGCAACTATTTATAATGCTGCTATAACAATCAGTACCCTAGAGGAGAACACAGGTAGAAACCTCTTGGACATTGGCCATAGCAGCTTCTTACTAGATAAGTCTCTGTAGTTGCCTCTTTGAAGTTTGCTCACTCCTCACCGCTTTCTCCCTCCCTTCCTCCCCATTTTGGCTGTCACTCCAGTGACAGATTCCAGGCATCAGAACAGATATCAGTTAAGAAAATGCTATAAACAGCTCTGTCCTGACATATAACTGGTAGTTGTTAGCTCCCAGTGCTGGCCAGCAGCCTGAATGACAGTCAGAGGGAAGGAACTGCCACCTGAGCTGACCCACTCTGCACCTTCCAGTTGTCACTCCATTTCAGCTCTTTTGTTCAGAGCTTTACCTACATGTCAAGAGCCAGTGCAAGGCCTCATTGCTTTAGTGATCCAACTGTGCCGCTGTCTTGTCTTACATCTCCATCCCTTGTATCAGTCCAGCATTTGAGTGGACTTGATATTCTTTACATTTTTCCTCAGCAATTAAAAATAGCAAACACAAGCTGGGTGTTAAATTACATTGTTCTATGGCAGTCGGCTTAAAATAAAATCAAAATTGTTTGCTGTTATAATTTTGTCAAGGACTTTTTTCTGTTCCAGACGTAGAACTGGATACTTTCTCTTTTTCTATTATATCTAATTATGAGAAACCTATGAGATAGTTTCTTTTCTCTTCATTTCACATTTATTTCCCCATTAAGGAAAAACTGAGGCTTAGAGAAGTGAAACAACTTTACAGAGTCACTGACGTTGTAAGATAGGGAGATAGAGCTTGAACTTTGGCTTCTTGAGTATCACATTTTTATTTCTTAAACAGCTTTAGCTATCTTCTCCTTTATATTTTCTAAGAAGCATTAGCTGTTAAGAGAGAAAAATTATACAAGCCAATATCCTGTCCTCTCTTGATATCACTGCTTCTAACCAGGCTTGGCTTTGAAGAGGACTTTTCTCTAGTTTCTACAAAGGGACTTAGGACTTTCCTTTTGAGAATAAGGTGGGGAAGATATCTACTTACCTGCATTTGTTCATTTATTCAGGCATAGTGCTATGCAATGGGAGAGAAAGAGATGAAAGGCCATGCATGGTCTCTGCCCTCTAGAGGTTCATGGCGAGGCTGACATGTAAGCAACCAGTCCCAATCCAGTATGACCCATGTTCTGATGGGGGTGAGAATAAATTCCTGTTGGAGTATGGGGCAGGGAGCCCTTCACTCTGCCTTAGGTTCTGAGATAAAAGTGAAGGATATAACTACACTGGAAACCTGTAATATATGTGCTTAGGAACACTTCTTAGCTCTTTCTTCTGCCTTGACTAGAGAGAAAAGACTTCATTCTGATGGTGTCATTCTGATGGTGTGTTCTAGGATTTGGAGAAAGCATGCTTGTAAGGCCTTGCTCAGCCACAGGGCCATTAATTCTCCACTATGGTAACTATTTCAATGAGTAGCATTTGCATCTGCTCCAGAGGTAGTAGAAACAGACTTGTTCTTGAAATAATTGGTTGTGCTGGCCTCATTCACATTTGGTTGTTTGGATTCATTATGCTTTAAAATCTGCTGCATTTGGTTTTAATTCTCTGCCTTTCTTAGAGCCTAACTCCCAAGTGATCCAAAAGAGTAATTAGTGGCTACAGGAGTAGAGAGGCTTTCAGGTGAGCATGGCAGAATTTCCTAGAAAGTAAGAGCTGATTTTAGAAAATTGGAAGAATGTACAAGTAGAAAGAACCACTCCTTATCATGCTGTTAGGTTGGGTGTAGATGAATATAAGAAAATATCGGAGAAAGTTGCTTAAAGTGATTTCGTAGTACCTCATGAGGTACTAAGAAATCAATAAGTGCTAAGATTGGCTATGGTCATTTTACAGAGAAAGGGGAGGGAGAGAAGAGTTTGGGCTGGAGAGGGAGGTCAAATTTGTAGTAAAAGTCATGTTGTGGACCAAATTGAAAAGGAAATTAAGGGGATGTACAGTTTGGTAGAGAGATCACAGGCTCAGAAGGCTTAGTGAAGTCTCAGATTTGACAG